CAACTATCGGCTTAGCGTACCAAATGTTTTGGTGTGTTTGTTGGCCTTCGTTTATTTTAACTTGCCTTAGCTTTTGTAAATAACAGATGCTCATACTCTTCCAGCGTAAACTTTAACCCTCAACCGCTTTCCGTTTTAAGAAATGGCGGTGAGGGTGCCTAGTAGGGTCCACCAGTGAGATGCCGCGTGCGGTTGTGTTAGCTAGTTTCGCCCATGGCAACTGCGGTGCCACGACGAAGTTCTTTTGGGCTCACAAGACCGGTCGGCGTAGCCTGATGGCGGCGGGTTCTGCCGTAGCCAACCGACGCTGTCCAAGTAATTTTGAATAGCTTGAAGGTACCTTGTAGGTCACTCGGAAGGACTCTTTGGCATCCACGCGATGGTCTGAGTCTACCATATGCGCTAGAATGGAACTGTTTATACCCTTTAATTGGCCTTTCCCTAACCATGCTGGGATGTGCTCTCGTACTCTTTTTGACAGACGCCGGCTCGTGCGACCAATAGATCCTGCCCTAAAGGAGCAGGTAAATGAATATATGCACATAGATGTGGTCCGGGCTGGCAGTTTGTCCCTGATCTCTGCGTATAGGATGGGAATAGTCGAGAACAGTACATGAGCGTTGGCTGCCAGCAACAACACTACATCTTTCAACAAACCGGCATGGTTTATTTATTTAATTACTATATAAATGTAAAGGCCTGACGAGAATTTATCGAAAACAAACGTATGTTCGCCAATCTATCTTATGAAGTTTAGATATTTACCAATTTGACTGTTTGATCGCAAATCTTAACGCAATATAACCTCAGCCAGAGTTAAACGTATATGCAAATTCAGAAGGTGAAGGATATATTGAAGTTGGTGTTGCGTAGGGAGACGAGTGGGTTTTATTCTTAGCAGTAATGTGGCAGGTGATCTAGCCCTTGAGCGATTTATTAGGGAACTTAGCGTTAAAGATGCAATTAAATGTGCCAAATTGTTGGACAGGCAATAAAACCTACGCAAGAGTGCCGATAAAAAAAGGAGTGTACTAATTCCATAATAAGTCCGGCAATAAATCTAGCCTCAAGGCCGGAGTTAAGCTGGTGATAAAACTACACACAAGCATGACTAATAAAACTGCGAGTAGTGCGGATGCTTGTAGCATAATTAATAAAAGCACAATAAATTCGTCAATAAAAGCATAAAAACGCCTATATGGTTGCTAATAACTTATTTTAATTGTCTGGTTAAGAATAATCGGCTACGTCTGCCAAAGTTAAGTTATTCAAGTAATATATATGTAGTGACGCAAAATAAGCAAGCTGCTTTTAGTTACCAACGTCTTCGTTCTAAGTTTAAAACTGTTGGGATACTTCTGTCTTGGATTTACTGGATGGACTACTTCGTATTTCACATATAAATAATATATAATATAATATAAGCCATCATACAATTATTAGGAAAAACATAATGAGGCAATTCTGATCACTTCCTGAATTCATAATAAGGTTCCAGAATAAGCTTTCGTTTGGTTGACCCAACTGTGAAAAAGAACTCGCGGATTTTGACGCGAGTCAAACCCGTACGGCAGGGAAGGCCTTTACGCAGCTAACACTCTACCACTTGAGCTACAAACGCCACGCCTTGCACCGTGAATTTAATCACACTTGGATCGCCCAACCTTACCGCTCGCATGGAATCATCTCTTTTACAGTGAACCTTCACTGTGGTTGCTATCAGTATGAGTGCGTACGTGTGTACCTTTTAACCCCCTATTTGTGTACATACGCGTTGTGACCTCAAAAATAATATCTCAGCTTATTGGCAATTTCAAAGGAGGTTGAGCAATGGAAAAAGAGCAGACAGCGAAAAAAAAACTCCTTGGGACTTTTTTAGGAGAAACAATCTGTCGCTCTTGGTAGGATAGTATGCTAGGTTGAACCGACAGTGCCCCCGTCGATTTCGACGATGGGCACCACGCGCTTCAACAAGCCGCAGCAAACGCTGAATCAAGCCACAACAGACGCTGAGACAAGCTGGGCAAGCAGCACGAAGGCCACAGCAGACAGAAGCGACTCAGCGAGCTACCGCAAAAGAAAAAAACAAGAGTTTAAGCAGACTTGCGGAGAATCTGCCCACTCGCTCGCCACTCCCACCTCCGTTTCCGGTGTAAAGACAAAGCCACCAAGACCGGCGACGGGGGAGGGTATAGTTGGCTGACGCGAGAGTTACTCAAGACGCGCAGACTTGACACAGCCAGCTAGCTAGGTATGCTCCCGCGTGCGCGGAAGCGCCATAAAGGCCACATTAAGAGG